CAGCAAACATGAACAAATTGATTTATAAACAGACTATAACTACAAACGAAACAAATTCTATTCAAATTAATTCTACAGTTTTGCTTTCTCTGGCGATCCTGTGCATAAAACTGAAATTTAAACAGGTCGGCATTTTACCGGTAAACCGGAAAATCAATGCATAAATTAACTTGTCAGAAGTGTGAATTGCCTCCTGCCAGTACGGTAACGGCCTTGCCGGTACGGTAAAGCAGCGGCCGGTACGGTAAAGCAGCGGCCGGTACGGTAAAGCAGCGGCCGGTACGGTAAAGCAGCGGCCGGTACGGTAAAGCAACGGCCGGTACGGTAAAGCAACGCACGCCGCGGGAGACTCACAGGAAACCGGCTTGGTGGTAATGATCAGTTCCCTAAATTAGATTGGGGATACTGTGGAATACTTTATTTTTGCTGGAATTTATTTTCGCTGAAAAGGCTTTTTGGGCGTTTTGCTTGGAATTTATTTTCACTGATTTTTGATGAGATTAATGTAAAATATAGGAAAAAATGTATATTCACCGGATTTTATTTTCACGGAATCATCCCTTCAGCGAAAATAAATTCCAAGCGAAAATAAAGTAATCTACAGTATGGAATATCAGGATGTTTGAACATGCTCCACAGAATATGTAATACATAATTTAATCATGTCTCCACATTATCCGCAAGTTACTATGTATCAAGTTTCATAGAAATCTGTTACGCAGTTCCTGAGAAACAAATTAGACTTAAATTTGGTTAATTAGTATGCAAATTAGGTCATCAATGTGTACATATTTCAACTAAAATCTAATCAGGTCTTCACATTATCCCAGCACATCTAATTACCAAGTGTCATTGAAATCTGTTGAATGGCACACAAGAAAATGCTTAAAATTGACTGATTAATATGCAAATTAGGTAATTAATATGCATGTATATCAACTAAAAACTAATCTGGTAATACATGCATTCACATGGAAACACTAACCACAAAAACTCAATTATGTGTCAAAATTGCTTTCCCAGAAACACAATATTCTGAAAAGAAATGATTTTGTTGCAAGTCCTACCTTTCCGAGTAAAGTGCCATGCTCTCTAATCTTTTTAGTCAAATCACGGGTATCAATTCCTGGAAATGAAAACAAAACAAAAATGATGTACAAGAATGGAGGACTGTATTATTAATTAATTCATCATATGTTTTTTTCCAATCATCTCGGCTATCCATGGAGGCATTCAGCTCACAATTAGTTAAGCTATTAAACATAAAACAGACGTGGAAAAAAAAAAGTGTATATATATATGTGTGTATATATATATGTGTATATATATATATATATATCGTACTTATCCAGGTAAGAGCCCATACCCCCCCCCCACCCCCCCACTTTTGACACAATAAAGAAGTTGAGGTCATATTCGGGCACACGCCCAGGTTCCCCCCCCCCCCCCACACACACACACAAAATAATGAAATACTATTTTCTATTCGTTGACTGTGGCTGTATTAACAGTTGACTTTCTTGTAGTCTGTCGTGATGTTTATAAAAGTTCTTTAAATATAACTGTTCATTTCGTAAAACAAGGGGTGAACGCGAAATAGCTGCGACAGCGAAATACCTATTTTGCTTTTGCCTTCAGTGCAGCGCGTTCACCGCTGATTTACATTTATCTTCAAGATTTTTTTTTCAGAATCATAACAGTCAGCAAGTCTATAAAAATATATATTAAAGCAGAAACGATATTTTTCTTTTTGAAATATGTCGTGGCCCTAAAAAGAGCCGGCCATTCGGTTTGTGCTTCCTTAGAAACGATTCAAGTCAAGCAAATCGTATAAGGAGAGCCGCGAAGCAAGTGTCGCACTCTGTCGGCCGTAGCGCCATCAACAATTAAACCAAAGTTGCAATATTGTAGCAGCCCATACTGAGAGAGTGGTTGAAATCGCGTTATTTTGGCTTTAAAAAATAATTGGTAGCAGCTTGCGAATCCATAACTGGGGCCAGCAATTTTGCAATGTCATGCCAAAGACTGCCAAATTTGTTATCATCTTTCATCACTGCTATTGCATTCCTGTCATGAAAACTATTCTTCTGTCGTTGGATAAAATAAAAACTTTCTATTTCAAGCCCACCACGATATCCATATAGTGAGACATTCCAATCGTCGGAACTTGCTGAATGATAACTTTCACCGTGATTGATAAGCGTATGATAAAAAAGCAATGTCACAATTTTACCTTTATGATAAAATACTAGTAGTGATGTCATTCTTACCCAATCAGTAAAGCAGATGCATAAAGGTTAAAGATGATTGCCAGACGGTAAACAAAAGCATTGTGTGCCATCGCAGCAGAGCGACCCCATTTTTCTTGCCTGTTTAATATGATTAGACATGAATGAAAAGTGCCAAGCTGACAGACTGCGAAATCCGTGGATTAAAAGTGCTAAGTCCAAATTCCAAACTTCAGGAATAAGTTGTAGGGATTTTGTTCAATGGCTACAGTGACGCCGACTTGGACTTCAAGGGTTTTGAGTTTGACAAGGATGGCAATGTACGTACAAATAAAGATCTGACAAGTTTCATTGTAAATTTGTAAATTATTATTGATCTTGTATGACAGTTGATTTTTAATTTGTCGAGGCCGGAAATAATTTTATGCAGTTTAACCCCTGACATTTTATTTCATTTTGAGTTCACGCGTATTGGGCGTGTTTGTCGGCAAAAAATTCTAATTCAAATGATTCCTCACTGTCGATTTTTTATTATTTCTGGTTTATTTGTCACATCATTAGCAATACATTATTTTTGTTTTACTTCTAATGTTGCATATTGATCATTTATTTCTGTTCGATTAGCATGTTTTTTTTTTTGCCGGGATATCCTGGTAAACGCCCACCCCTATTTTTTGACAATTTTTCATGTTCAGGACCCTGAGCTCTTACCCAGATAAATACGGTATATACATATATATATATACACACACACCGGTATATATATATATATACATATACATGACATTTGGCATCACATAAATAATTTTTTTGTGGATTAGTAGTGTTGCCCTATAACGGCAATATTTTTCAATTTTATAGTTTATACATAAACAGTTTTTTAACTTTAATGACAAATGCTTGTGTTAGAGGGAAATTTCCACCCCCCCCCCCAATTACTAGGTAACACATCTATCTAACAAAGTTGTCAAACTTGACCTTCATCACACACAAAAACTTGATGAAAAAAAAAATTACCCTATATTTAAAATGAAAGATACTAGTAATCACTGGACTGTACCCATTTTCATTTTTTATTTTTTTGTTAATTATTAATGGTTATTTTGATATTTTTTTATATTCAAAAGTAGAACGGTTTGTTAGGATTTAGCATTTCAATTGAGAATGTCTGAAATGTGGAGTGCCCATCTAAAATAGGAGGAAGACAGACGGCTGGATAAAAGCCTGCATCATATACAAAAACAAAGTGAAGTGCATTTACAATTGAGTGAATGACTGAATCAAGTACTTGAAAACAGATCAAACATTACAGTATGGCTACCACATTATTAGATCAGTAGCCTCGCTCTTTTTAAAAATTAACCTTTTCACCACCAGTTCCTTCTCTTATATTCGCACTTTCCTTCAGAAAATCTGGACAAAAATAGACAAATTTTGAGTAAAAACTGAAAATTGACTCAAACTTTGTCTGTTAGGATTAGGATTCATTACTAAAAATATTAAAAATCTAAGAATATAAGAAAAAAAAGAAAAATCTGGTGGTGAAAAAGTTAAGCTAACATCACATACAATATTAAACCACACAGCGATATTGCTAATAATTTTTAAAAATTTACAGCTATCTAATGATTTTTGGAACCTCGGCTGAAAGATAAAAATATTACCTCTCAGATTAATTAGAAATAGGATACTCTAAAAAGAACTGAATGTCAAATTTATTTTCACTTATTATTTGCTACTCAAGCATGTCAAATAATTTTAATTTCATAGTTGACAATTCTCACTGAGATCAAAGAAGATTATTGACATACAGGTGACCTTTACAGAGATTAAGTTGTATAACCAATAAAACTAACGATAATGTTCTGAAAATTTGTTTTCAAAAATAAAAGCAAAATGTTTATCTATAAAGCCCTTAGCAGTCTATTCAAACTAAGGCCAAGAAAAATGTGTCTGAGAAATTTTTTCTTCAAAATTGATGAAAGCACAGATTTGAAATACATTGTACAATAAATTGAGCAGAATATACGATAAATACTTCACATCACATTATGTTCTATATGGTTGCCATAGCGATGTGTACAACCTATGTAAAGTACATAGTTGCGCAAAATTTTGACATGTAATCTGCTACCTTAGCGCTTTAAATTTGTCTACAATAGAACAAAAATAAATTTTCCTCACTCACATTTGCTTCAGAGAATAAAATATCTATGCACCATATCTACATGTATAGGATAGGAACAACCTAAGGGACGACGTCAAAAGATCGATGTCAGATACAAAACTTAATTCCTTTAGTTTTTTTTCACACCCCCCCCCCCCACCCCCCACTGAAACTTAATTGATAAATATTGGTCATGACATCAGACTACATTCACCATTAAATACAATTTGATAATCGGACAGTAGTATGGCATAGCAGTTGGTTGTCGGGTGGGTGTAAAAAGACTTTACAAATGCACCTCATTTGACGCACATATTTATTCTTGGACCAAACCATTTTCCCACCCCAAACTAAAGCAAATAAGTTTTTTATCCGTCATCCATCTTTTGACGTCGTCCCTAAAGTTGACTAAACCTTGCAAGAATTTTTTTGAGTCAGGATTTTGCTTTAAATTAAATTAAAAAAGAAAAGTTAAATTTCTTTATTCTCATATTCTAACATTGGTTCATATTTCACAATTTGTAAAGTTAACATGAATGTAAGAGCCATCATACTGATTAATTCTACTGAATATTTTTCAGGTCCTCATTTCTCAAGTAAACTAATATATAAATTGTAAATATTCTATTCTATTATTTATTAATATGTATTTTTTATAATAAGCTTATAGTATATTGTCATCATTATTTTATGTTATTGATGAATGAATTAACAATACAACTTCAGAGATTGAGAAGATGAATACCTGATGAAAGAATAGAAATCACGAACAGAGTTCATCTCTAGTTCGAAGCACCTGTCTGATGAGGACGCATATTTAATATAAATTTTAAATTAACATTACCATATTTACTTTATTAGAAGCTCATCTCCAATAGCAGTGCACATAAACCATAACTGTATCATACACAACCCAATATTTGCATAATTTCATGCATTAATAAATCAGATTTAAAATATGCTGTGTAAAAGGATTGCATAAATTCCATATTATATATTTGAAAAAGAAAATTAAATAGCAAATACTTTTGGTTAAGTCTAGATTCCCTTCACTTGCTATATACCAATGCTCATCTAAATCATTATTGTTTGCATAGACAGCACTTCCATTCAAAATGATCAAATTTACAGATATTACTAGCATTGTAGCTAGCTTTATCATGTAGGATTTCAACCAATCACACAGGTTTAAATCTCAGACTTACCATATATGGCAGGTATGTTGTATTCTTTCAGCCAATCAGAAAGCGACTTTTTGGCAGCCCAGTGACTATACTCCTCAGATAGGTCTCCAATCACTAGAGCAGAGACATGGATTTTGCTTGACTCAAACCACTGTGAAAGCCCGTACTCATCAACCTCGTTACTTGGAATTCCGTAATTTCCAATCAACGGGTATGTCAACACCAGGATCTGGGATTTGTATGAAGGATCAGTCAGGGATTCAGGATACCCAACCATACCAGTTTGGAAAACTAAAATAAAAATTATCAAAATAATGAAAGAATAATATTTGTAATAAACCACATATAACAGGTAAAATAATTTTTTTCTTATTTACATTTTTTTTACACTCAATATTTTGTGGGCAATGTATTCAGTTAAAGCGTGGTAGTCATCGCGCTGCGCATGTGCGAGATATATGGGTCTCATATAAACAAAGATGGCGACTTTGACTGTTGCGCAGATCAACGAGTACAAACTGCTTTAATTTAATTTTTATGTGTTTGGAAGGTATCGAGGGAGTCACCTGCGGTAATCAGTGCAAGTTGCACCCAGGTGAAACCTCATATTTGTGATTTCCATTTGAAGAGCGCATTGGATTGTGGGAAAATCAATGTTTATCAACACAAATATTGAACATGCACAGCTCGACGACTACAGTGCTTTAATGTCAAAAAAAACTGGAATAAATTGATAATAGTAAATATCTACTAGTTATATATATTGGCATATACAATATATATTTTGTATTTAAAAGATTAGTTGTCATAAATTATCAAAAATATGGCATCAAATTTTCACTGGGCCATACTGACTAAAACGCCGACCCCCTAAAAAATGCGACTTTGTGAGCTAAGTACCCTGTGGGCTCTGTCGGGAAAAGTACAGTAATATTTTAAATTAATTGCTGAAATAAATAGCACGGGTTCTCTTATTTGCTGTGAAACACAATTGTAAAAATGTAGCAGATTTCTTGATAATCGGTAAAAACTACATTATTATTATTGGTATATCAAAAATAACATCAGTGATCGCCATGGGGTTACTGACTTTGAGTTGGCGGGTGAAATGTGCATGGTAATCATTGGTGTGACATTCAAATTTCCCGGGAAATTTCAACAGCTGGAGATGTATCAAAGTTTTCTTTTTTATTCCACTTACCAACTTCACCCGAAACGCTTACACCTGCGCCGAACAATTTCCCTTCGTACTTTGAACCATCCTCGAGAAAAAGAGAAGCGGACATTCTGATAACAGATTTCTTCACTCCGCGATGTAACTAACATGTGCACGTTTTGATGCACAGTGGAGGAGAGTGATCGCGCACACACCGAACACGTGTTACGTACAAACAAAAGACGGTATGGTCCGAAAAGTTGCTCGGAAAAACTGCGATAAAGCGGGTATTACGGGTGCCTGAATTCCCAAATATCGTCCAGCGGATCGTGAAAATAGGAGTGATCTGTTGGTGGAAGCTGTAGAGTTGCCGTCATAAAGTATCTCTGAAATACCTATCTAAATATGACAGTCACAGAGAGAGAGAAGTGATCGACTCGGCAGTCCGCCATTGAATGACGGCTTCCCGCCTATTAACATTAAGATGACGTCATATGTTGAAGGTTAAATGAGGTCATAGTTGGTCAGCGAAATTCGTCTTATCATGAACTTTCATTCATTTAACATCGAATATACCAACATAGAATTACATAAATGGGGCCTATATGTTTACTTTTCGAAGATAGTAATAAAAATGCTATATCCAAGAACAGGGTCCAAGAAGATCAAATACTCATCCTCTTTCGCGCAACAATATTTTATTCGACAGGAACACCATGTGCTTTTTAATAAAATTTAACTGATCTGTAAAAAATGACACATCGTGATCTACTTTTCTTGTGTGATAAAGGTTTAACTGAATTGTTGTGCGAATTATACTGAAGAATATTTATGTTTGGGGAACAAGGCTGTGAGGCAAAAAAGCGTTGATTTATATTTCCGCTGAACTGCATTCTGGTATTGTCCCTTGAACTAGTTCGTACGAGAGAAAATGGCTTCGTTGTTATGTCGTGCACGTGTTTTGGCTGTAGCTGGTCGTTCATTGATGGTATCATCAGTGAGGACCATGTCGAAACCCGGTGGTGAGTATTTCATGTGACTGTCTGATGTGTGCGAGCTCTGGAATACCATGTTATTGCCACGAGATGTACATCGTGCACACCGGCGTTTCCAAGATGGCGGATACAAGTTCATTTTTATTGGTGTGTGTAGTTGTCGTGCAACGAATATTATTATATTTATGACAAATTTCTGATGTCGTTCAAATTTACGTGTTCTTGAGAAAGTGTCTAATTTGTTGACTGATAGATTATCTGGTGATCGTAAAATCTGACATTGATTTGTCTTCTTATCCCAGTATATCTGCGTCAATAAGCAATGATTACGACTGTGAATTATTAATGGTTTGTGACCTGGACAGGAATTCAATTTGATTGAGTAAAGAATACATTAATATACGGCACATGTATATATTTATGTAATATGATGCACAAAAATAATCAGTGTTAATTTTTTTTCTTCGGAAAATCAGTTTGACCTTCACTACAGGCATTGTATCTTCTGGCATTAACTAAAAATATAAAGTTTATATATAAAGTTCTACATGTAAGATCTGAACATAGATACAAACAACTGAATTCATTAAACAAATAGAATAGTGACATGTGTTGTTATTTGGATGTGGCATTCAAATAATTATAAGGACATGAGATTGCATGAGATTCGCAACAAATCACTCAAAAGCTGCAAGGGACGCAGTTGGGATTAAAAACACCACTTATCATATTCACGTGTTGCCTGCACGCGTTTGTATTGTCGCGTGCGTTAAACAATGTTCTATTCGTGATCCACACTATGATAGTACAGTTATAGTACAAAGTTCAGAATGTATTATTTATTTATTTTTGGTGGTGGTAAGTGTTTGGCCTTTACTGTTCATTCTCGAAGCAGCTGATACTTTGATAGATTTATTAATGTTTTACTGTTGTTGGCATTTAGCAATGTCAGTAAAGTGTATTAAAAGTGCATGATATCCTTGTCACAGGCACAGAAGTTCTGATAGTTTATCTGCTGGAGACAACTTGCGTACCACAAGAAGACAATTTTGTTCGTTGGTTGTCATCCTTCAGCCTCCAGATAGACTATCACAAAAACAGTCTGAGCTTCTGTGGTCATAGAAATGCCATTTTTAATTACTGTGGAATACTTTATTTTCGCTGGAATAAATTTTCACTGAAAAGGCTTTTTGGGCGTTTTGCTTGGAATTTATTTTCACTGATTTTTGGTGAGTTTAATGTGAAATATAGAAAAAAAGTATATTCGCTGGATTTTATTTTCACGGAATCATCCCTTCAGCGAAAATAAATTCCAAGCGAAAATAAAGTATTCTACAGTACCCAAAACACTAGTGCATCATTTTTTTAAATTGCACAGTTTTCAGACTAAAATAGTGTTGGGGTAGGTTTTATGTCCATGTATTGAAAGCATGTTTTGAGTTTCAACATGGCAAAATCTACCCAGGAATTTAAACCACTGTGGTGGCCTAATTTGCATATCATTTACATAATAATAGAAATTTACCAAAGCACATTTACACCCAAACAATGAACAACATATTTTCAAAAACAAAGTGGCAGATATTTATTTGCTTTATTTTGGACACTTTTGTAATATTAATAAGCTCGATCACAGTGGAAATATTTTTTTATTGGAGTCAAAATTTTACGTTTCACAAGTTAGAAGAGTTAGAATTTAAAAATGAAACACTCTCGAAATGCAAATGCTGCAGACTGAAAAGAAACAAATAAATTGTAAAAGGTTAAATGAAACCCATTGAAACGTTTCAGCCAGGATTATGTTCACGACTTTCATGATCTTATTTGCTACAAAATTCTCCTTCAAAAAATCAACCACGTTATTTGGCGGATTGCTGGTTATTCCGACCATCAGCTTCTACAACGTTTACATTTACAGGTATGAACAAATAACACTTCCAAGCAATCATCAAAGTTACGACGTGACATAACTTACTTCGTGATGTTATACTACCGGTTATATAAATAATTCCTCTTATTCGGTCATGATGCCATGCAAAAAATGTTACTTTTTTTTTTTTATGAAAAAAAACGTACGTAAAGTTTGAATTAGTTTTATCGGGAGCAATTATTTTTGATCACTCGGTCACTTCGGTGAAAAACACAGACCCGCCATGATAGTTGTGAAGCATCAGTTGACCAGCATGTGTCCTTTGACCCCATGAGTCAAAAACGCCATTACCCAATCAAAATGCCGCATAGTAATGCCGATAGAACCCGAAGTTTTTCGAATGGTAATGATCATAAAAATTACATTGCGGAGGTAAAGCGATGTCGTAGCACGATGTGTTGGTATGGATTTCAGATGAAAACTGCATGATTGTTTTCGAAAGAGGTGATTAGCAATTTTTAAAAGGTAAAAGAAGTCCTGAAAGAAGAGTTTTTACATGATTCACGATGATAACAGTTCAAATGTATTTTACCCAATCACGCGATAAACGTGTTGTTTTTTCTTGAGTAGCGTAAACTGATCGTGAACTCCGTTTAGCCCATGTTACTTCGGGGTGGAATTGATTTTGAAAGAATTTTAGCTTTCAATCTAAAGACTGAGTCTATTGCCAGAAAGTATTTACTTACAAAGAGGTGCTAATTTTACAAAATTGACTTGTATTGTTTAAAGTCGCTACCACATTGTGCGGCTATGTCTATTGTTTACAAATTATTATCCACTACTGGCAGGATGCATGTCGGTCGGTACGTTAGTATAATAACAATATCACAATAGTCCTGATCGGAAGCGTTTCCGTGGTGGTCGCTAATTTTGAGTACCGGTCAGGCCGACCAGCATGACGAGATCCCCAATGAAAAAAAGCACTGTGGTGGTGGTGTCAGACCGGTGTAGCGACAAATCAAAGCACTGTGGCGGGACCACCACGCTGTTTACATCCTGGGGAGATCACTGCAATGTATACAAAATTCCCCACTCCTGTTGCAGTGTTCTCCACAATCCAAATTAGCTGGTGGGTGGTCTAATTAGCATAAATTTGCATATTCATTTGCATATCATTTACATACAGAATTCTCGCATTTATGACATGAACTGCAATACACACTAAGTTATTTACTATTCTCTTTTTTTATTTAATTTAATTGGAACATGTTACAATTTTTTTAAATACAAACAGATTGGTCACTATCAATATTTACGAAATGCAAAAAGTTTGAAATCGGTGATTTATGCGTTCGCAAATTATTCTGCGTTCATGAAATGCAATTCGAGTAACCAAGAGCAAGTACAAAACATAATTGAGTTATAATGTAGAAAATATACGAGATGATTTGCCCACGAAGCCAAAACAATTTGTCAAAACAAAATCCATAACATTTTTATTTGTGGCATCAGTACTCGCCCGTGCCGACAGACGGTAAGATGCATTTACACATGTACGGCCACGATACGTTGCGTTTTCACACATTGTTTTGGAATTCAAGAAAAAAATGCTAGCAATCGGCAAAATAAAAGAATCTGATATGTTCTCAAAGATTAGACCTAAAAAATAGATAAATTGAAAA